GGTTCTCCGCCTGTCTTCAAGGCGCGTTACGTGGCTCGTGGCTTCAGTCAGCGGTAGGGGGTTGACTACTTTCAGACCTTCTCCCCCACCCCGAAGATGACCACTCTTCGGGTTCTACTGCACGTTGCTGCTCACCGTGACTACGAGCTCCACTCTCTCGACTTCAGCACCGCTTTCTTGCAGGGCAGCCTGCACGAGGAGATCTGGCTGCGTCGCCCACCTGGCTTCACTTGGTCTTTCCCTCCTGGTACCCAGTGGAGTCTCCGGCGACCAGTCTACGGTCTCCGCCAGGCGCCACGTGAGTGGCACGACACACTGAGGATTACGCTCGCGGCACTTGGGTTTGCTCCTTCTACTGCCGACTCGTCGCTGTTTCTGCGCACCGACACCTCGCTGCCGCCGTTCTACATCCTCGTGTACGTCGACGACTTGGTCTTTGCCACAGCTGACACTGCTGGACTCGCCCACGTGAAGTCCGAGCTGCAGAAGAGACACACGTGCACTGACCTGGGTGAACTGCGTAGCTACCTTGGCTTGCAGATCACCCGGGACAGAGCACGCCGCACCATTACCCTGACTCAGTCACACATGGTGCAGCAGGTCCTTCAGCGCTTCGGCTTCACGTACTCCTCGCCTCAGGCCACTCCTCTGCCTACTCGCCACTCGCTCTCAGCTCTGCCTTCGGATGAGTCCGTAGAGTCGAGTGGCCTGTTTGCAGAGCTTGTTGGCTGCCTCATGTACCTGATGACCTCCACACGACCTGACCTTGCATACCCTCTTAGCATTCTCGCACGCTATGTTGCTCCTGGGAGACACCGACCAGAGCACATGGCTGCAGCGAAGAGGGTGTTGCGCTACTTGTGCAGTACGTCGGGCATGGGGCTTGTGCTTGGAGGGCGCAGTCCAGTGGTCCTCACTGGGCACGCGGACGCTTCTTGGGCTGACGACCAGGCTACGCAGCGGTCGTCACAGGGTTACACCTTCAGCCTTGGTTCCGGCTCTGTTTCGTGGCGGGCTACCCGCTCGTCTTCTGTTCTCGGCTCCAGTTGTGAGGCTGAGATCTACGCTGGGGCTATGGCTGCACAGGAGTTACGCTGGCTCACCTACCTGCTGACCGACCTTGGAGAGCAGCCTCGTTCTCCTCCAGTCCTGTACGTAGACAACAAGGCCATGCTGGCCTTGTGTCGAGAGCAGCGACTGGAGCACAGAACGAAGCACATTGCTCTCCGCTACTTTCTTGCTCGTGAGCTACAGCAGCGTGGACAGTTGCGACTTGCGTACGTGGCCTCTGAGGCCAACACTGCTGATGTCTTCACCAAGGCACTTGCGCCTTGTGATCATCAGCGTTGTTGCACGCAGTTGGGTCTTGTGCCTGTCTTGCCTCACTTGCTCTCCTCTTGACCTTGCTTGTACCTTCGCCTATATATACTCTTGCTCTTGCTTGCTTGATTCTTGTATATCTCTATATATGATCTTGCATGTGAACTGGCCTTCTGGCCTTTGAACTTGTGCTCGGAATGCGTGGTGACTTTGTGATCCACCCTGAGCTTTGCTTTGCTTTGCTTGACTGGTCTTGTGACCCCTTGTTCTCCCCCACTTTGCCTATGGGGGTGTGTCAGAACATATAGCTTACTTGTTTCTGTAGGCTATAGTGGGGTATCCCATAGGGGGTACAACCCAAATTAGGGTTTCCTATTTGTACTCACTTCGTTCATAGTCATTTCATCCTCGTTCATATTTTCTCACCATGCGCTTTCTAAGCACTTGTCGGCAAAAAACGCCGAAATTATAGGCGCCGAACTTTTCCTTACGCACGAACCAAGCCGAAAATGCTCTAATACCGTATGGCCCCGGATAGAAGCGCAGGCCTATGTTAAGCGCATGCGCTTGTATCTGGAGCAATGCGCTTATGGCCGATCCTCAATTATAAGTGCACCCCTTTGAAAATCTTGACTTATTATAAGCGCACCCTTTTAGTTAAAAAAAAAAGAATATAAATTTTTTTACCTACCTAGCCTACATGTTCTAAACTTTCCATTAAGTTAGACAATCACATACAAGGGTGGTCTCTGCTGTCCTGCACTACACACCTTTCAACCTGCCTAGTCTACCCTACTGCCTTTTCTTCCTCTTCGTCCGACTCAGGCTCCGTGGAGTTGTTGCCCCAGAACCCATCTGCCTGGATGTCGTCGTCCATCTCCACCTCATGGGACAACTGGCACCTTCGGTGCGCCAGCACCAGTTTGTCTTCGCTCCCATCAAGGGCGTTGCTGATGCCGCAAGTGAGGAAGGCTTTCTTGATGAGGTCGGCGGGCACCGCCTTCCACGCCCGTGAAATCCACTTGAGCACCACCTCCGGAGGTGGTTTCTTGATGTTCCCTGCATCACACGGAGTGGGGCGGGGAAAACATGAGACAAGTAAACAGGCTACAAGCTCAAGATTTGCAGACGGGAGCACATGTCGTCACTCACCTACCGGGGTCAAGATGTTCATGCCGTCCTCCTCAAACCAATTCTGGTACTGCTGACGAATGCTTGCTTTGAAGCTCTTATTGATCGACACATCGAGGGGCTGCAGATCTGCCGTGCATCCCGCCGGAATGATCGCAGGCACGATATTGAGCGCCGCGAATCTCGCTTTGACTTCTGGTGTCAGGTGACCGCGATAGGAGTCGAGCACCAGCATGGCGCTACGACTCTGCAGGCCGAATTTCGGCTTCAGGAACGGCACCACGCCCGTGTTGAGCCACTCGATGACGCTAGCGGCCTCCGTCCACCCATTCGCTTGGCAGCCGACCACAACATCTGCACGCAAGGAAAAAGAAACGGTGGACGACTCTGATAAACGGTAATAAAAACGCGCGACAATCACTTACCGTTTGGGAAGTCACCCTTGGAGAATTTCTTGCGCTTGAAAAACACCCACGGCTTCAGCTTCTCGCCCGTCGCCGTGCACGCAAGCATGACGGTCACTCTCTCCTTCTGGTACCCACCGCTGCGGATGGGCACCGACCTCACGCCCGTCTGCTCCACGGTGGTCGTCGCCGGCATCTCCAACCACAGCGGTGTCTGGTCGGCGTTGATGATGTAGCGGTTGTCAATGTCGTATTCGTTCCGGACGTCACGTACGTACTGCCAAAAATCCTTGCACTGCTCAGCCACGTCTGTGGAACAGGGAGAAAAATACATATAGTATACCAAATTAGTATCACGCACAGGAGACATGCGAAAAAAAAACTAAGCATAATCGGGATAAACCAAAATCAGCAGTAAACGACCCACTTACGCTCCTGTGTTTTCTGCGCCACCTTTGTTTTCATGCGCACGCTGAGGTTCCACCGCCTGCGGAACCGCTCCGTCCACCGCTGACTGCCTTTCCACTTGACGTCCGGGTATAGAACCTTCATCACTTCTTTGGACCTCTCTTGCAGCCGGCCGACCGAAACCGCAACTCCGCGGCGTCGCCAGTCGAGGAGTTGCGTGTACACCTTTAACTCCATGGGGCGGTACCAAGACGACCTCCCGCGCCCGTGAAGTCGCATCCGTGCTCCGTTTGCAGCCTTGAGCGCCTCCGCTTGGGCTTTCCATTCTATCAGACATTTTCGGTGTATGCCTGACTCCCGCGCGACTTCGCTCACCGAAGCCGCAAGCTCGAGCCGCACGAGCCACCTCAACTTGTCCTGGGCGGTGTAGGACTGCCGCTTATGTTGATTCAGCTTGTGTCTGGGGGAGAGGGGGCGGGCATCTCGATTCTCGGTAGACGGGTGGGGGCGTTTTTTGTTAAGGGGCGGATACGTCGGTATCGGCATCTTCGTGCGTGGTGCGTCGCGCCACCAGGACTCCACACCGTCCTCGTCCTCGGCAGTTGTGTCACGGTCGGGGAACACGTCTTCCTCGTCGCCCGCTGCACCGTCGCCACCAGCTTCACCGTCGCCTCCAGCTTCGCCGGCGCCGCTGTCATGTTTGTCGGCAGCCACATCATCGTCGGCGCCCACAGCCGACTCATCCCACGCGCAGGCTTCTGGTTGTCCCCACCGTAGTGCAGTCGCTGGAGCTTGGATGCGTGCATCGGGGGCCTTGGGTGTGTCCGCTTCAGCCAACCATTCGTCGAACGTGGCTGGTAAATACAGTTGGAGCACGGGCCGTTGGTGAGCACCTGCCGTAGCAAAAGCAGGCGGATTCGGAGGAGCGGGAGGTGCGGGAGGAGCGGGTGGAGCAAGGGGTGCAGGGGGAGTAGGAGGAGCAGGGGGTGCAGGGGGATCCGGTGGCACTGGAGGCGCTGGTGGCTCACGGGTATACCACCCGTCCTCGGTAAGTCGCCATGTGCGGCGTGGTTTCTTCTTGAAGAGGATGTGAGTCCCACTAAATTCCGCCATGGCTTCGCCTGCCAGGCGGGCTAGACAGGAAACTGAATGAAAAAATTAGAGACGAGGGTGAAGAAATGGGCAACGACGGGGACCCCTGCTGCGTGGCGGCTCGGGTTCCTCGTCGATGACAGGCAGGAAACCCCCGCCCACTCCTGTAGAGGCGCCTGCGTGGCAGCATCTACGCTGCGCTGGCAGGGAATCTTGCCGAACCTTCGAGATGGTTCTGCCAGAATGCACATGCCACGCAGCGCATGCGGCTCTGATTGGGCCGCACGACAACATCCTCGTCACGGCTGTCACATTCGATGTTTCCAGACAACATTGTGCGGTGGGAAACCGAACCGCTGCGGTTTCTGCCTGAAAACCATGTACGATCCCACTTGGTGCATGGTCGGTTGTAACCTATGCTGAATTGTGTCTCTTCTCATCCTAACAGCCTCGCAAAGCAGGTGGGTGACCATGTTTATACATAACTCCATACAACCACCTCTGGGAATTGAAGCGTTCATGCCTGCATGGGCAGTCACGTTCAGAAATGAATTCAGAGTTGGTTCACTGTGAATGGTTCTATAGTAACTGGGGGAGGTGCTATCTGGAGGGGGTGAAAGAATGAGTTTACGAGGGTGGGGGGTCCTAGCTGGGAACGATCTTGAGCAGCTCAATGTCAAAGAGAAGCGTCTTGTCGATGAGCCCCTGGTTCTTGAGCACAAAGTCCAACGCGCGCTGGCCCTGGGGCACGCAGCAAGCAGCAGCACGGAGTGACGGAGGGGAAAACGAGGGGGCAGTGAGTTTAGGTAGGCGAGAACAAGGGAGAAACAGCAGAAGATGGAGGACAGGAGCAGCGGCATGGGTGCAGTGCGTGTGGGTGCAGTGCATGTGGGTGCAGTGCGTGTGTGTGCAGGAGAGGGCACTGACGGAGAAGGTGGTGGGTTTGGGTCCTTGCTTGTTAAAGTTGTTGTCGGGATAGCCTATCTCCGGCGGCACAACGATCCTGGCACATGCAGGGCGTGGAGTCATTGGTGCACAGTGCACCGCAGATGAGGCACGGCAAAGGGAGGCATGTAATGCGGGAATAGAGCAGTACTGTTGAGATTAAATCCGGTCCATGGCACCATGCATGCTGCATGCGCGCCATACCCTATGGATGGCACTGAATCAATTGCAGTGTATCGAGCACTCCCTTTCAACAACCCCCCACCCCCTCCTCCCTCCCTTCCCCCCCCCACGTCCTCACCTCCTCACTCCCCCCAGCTTCATGGATGCCACGGCCTCCTCAAACGCCGGGATGACCTGCCACCACCCACACACACATGCACGCCATGTGTGCCAGGGTGCCCCACATGCACGCCACGTGTGCCGGTATGCCGCACATGCACGGCACCCAAGAGGCACACGGGTGGGCTCATGCGAGAGGGTTGGAGCATGCAGGGAGAAGCATGCATGGCCATGTGCTTGATTGTGAATCATGGCAGCGAGGCGGAGGCACGGAAACAGGCAATGGCGAGCACAGCAGACACAGTGTCAGCAGCAGGCGGGGTGATGGGGTGGCAGGGTGTGGGCAAGGGGTGGTAGCAAGGGGGCGAGGGAGTGGCGGGGCGCACCTCCCCTTGGCCGACGCGGTAGCGAAAGAAGTCCTTCTCGTTGCCCTGCACACACCACACACACACGGGGCGGGCGCAGCAGGGAGGGGGGAAAGGATCAGCCGGAGGCGAGTGTGGCTCGGTCAGTGAGAAGCGCGCCAGTGACAAGCCGTGGCAGCCCCTCGCCCCCACCCGCACTCCAACCAACCTCGCAAGTTCCGACCCCTCCCCCCAGCTTCCCCCCTCCTGTCCCTTGGGGTGAGCCTTGTCTTACGCACCTCAAAGGAGCCGCCCTTGGCCTTGTTGCGCGCCTCAAAGATGCGCCCATAGTACCCTATCGTGAACCCCGCCCAGTCCACCTGCAACGAGAGGGGGGCAGCGCAAAGTGGGGTGCGGGGCACAGGGTGGGGAGGGGCAATGGCTTTGCAAGGTCTGGCAGGGCATGTGGCACGGCAAGTATGGCAGGAAACGTGGCGTGGAAAGGAAAGCACACAAGACAAGTCAAGCAGAGGAAATGAGAGGCGCACTCACGACAACGAGGTCGCCTGGTTGAGGAGTTGGTCCCGTGCCCTCCCTCAAGTCCTGGTGGCACGCGGGCAGGGAGGGAAGCATCATCATGCGACATTAACCATGAACCATTAACTAATAACCACTGACCATCACGTCTCAACGCACAGCTCAACACGCTTCGATGGAACGATTGTGATCGTGATGCGACAACAGCATCACCTTCAGTGCCACCATGACTTGCAGTCTTACAACATCCTATTCCCATAGATCGACCATTGGACTTGCTACACCGCAGGAGCTTTTTTTGCAGCAACAGCCGTGCTCATTTCACGTAGTATTGAGTTCACACGCTCCATAACACGCCCCACCTTGCGCTTTCCCCCCCACCCCACCTTGCATTGCCCACTGCACCCCACCTTGAACTGCAGGCCGGAGTCGGTCTCAGTGTAGTCGGCATACTTCATGCGGCTCTTGCCGTAGTCCTTGCCCCTCAGCGCCGGCACTGCCGCGCCCACGCGAACACCCATACACAGTGGAGGGGCGTTGGGGGAAGGGAGTGAGGGAGAGAAAATGGGGTTGTTTTGGGGAAGGGAGAGGGGGAGGGAGGGGCAGAATGCACACCATTGGCATTCAAGAAAGCTTGTGCATTCAGTAACGCAGGAGGCTGTGCGGCACACACATGGCTGCTGCACGTACTGTCCGCGAAATTTGACTCCGTCGCCTCGGCCACGTCAGCAGGGAGCAGGGTGACGGCGACGGACGAGACGAGCGCGGAGGCAGCGGCGGCAGCCCCGCCAAGAGCCACGCCTCTGCGCCCCACGCGCGGTGATTCCTCCGGGCCCGCTGGCTGCTTTTGGTCTTCCTGCGAATCTCGCGACGGCTGCGGAAAATTGGACGAGCGGAAGGAAGCGGATGCGGCCACGTGGCGCCGCTTCGTGCGAGTCGCCAGGCACGAGACACTTCTGGACGACGCGTCGAGCTGCCACAGCAATGGAGAAAGAAAGGGAACCACCACAAGAAGGAAATGCATTTCTCAGCATTTTTACAAAAATTTCAGATTTTATGATGGACGAGGTGCGAGATTTGAGTCGCAATAACGAGGACGTCACCTCTCCGCTGGTGCTCGTCAAAAGGAGCGACGGCGCTGCTTGAACGCTCGGCATTAGGAACGCCATCACGACCTAGATACGCGAATCCGACGACGTACAGCAACGGGACTACGCTCAAGCTAATGCCACGCCTCACCGCCGCGCGAAGGGACGGGCAGCGACACGGGACTAAAGGCGGAACGTGCTTGTGAACTCCCCTAGCGGCGGACTAGCTGAACGGAGGGAAGGGCGAGCGGAACAAATTTCAAGTTTCAGAAATATATTTGAGCCGCACATCGTGGTGTGCATGTATTGACAATTGACTCGCTAAAATGAGTATCCCGATATAGCGCAACCTCAACCACTTGAAAAAGACTCTCCCTCTCCACAATAATTCATCTGAACGCCCAAGATACTGCCGAGTCCCGCACTAGTTTCCGCGTGGATTAGTCCGTGGTCCCAGCTTCAGCACTCGTTCGAATAGAACGACATTACCCATAGCAGGCGGCTTCCAGTCGCGAGTCGTGATCAGCGGCCGGCGGATCATTAATTAACGATGGAGGAGGAAGCGGACTCTCCGCTCCTTCGCTTTCTGATCGACCTTCTCAAGCCCATGTAAGCTCAATGCTAAACCTTACTGCTTCCCGCCTCCTAAATTGATACTTCCAATTCCTTTCCGAATCGAGGACGATGCATTTAGAGCCCATTTTTCATGTTCTTAGCAGTATCGAAACCCTAGTTGTCAAAATTTTATGCCGTGGCTCGTGGGTGTGTACTGGCATTGCTCGCGCGCGCAGATCGGAGGCGGATCCGGCGCTGCTGGCGAACTACGTGGTGGCGCTGCTGAAGAACAGCAAGCCGCACGACGAGCTGCGCCGCCTCTGCCTCGACCAGCTCCAGGACTTCCTCACCGACGGTACGTCGCGCGCGGTCCATCATGAGCAATTGCACTAGGCCCTCATGGAAGGTGCGTCGTACGCAACGCATGATAAATCGCACGACTTCCCATGAGTAAGATGGAATTGTCTGAATGGCAGTCCCACCTCACGGAAGGTGCGTTATAGAGAACCATTCGCGCGCGCGGTTTTTCTCATTTGCGGTCACGCCCTAACTCATCGTCTCATTCCAGATCGTCTTGTTCGCTCGCGTCGCTTGCCTCATAGCGGCAAATCGGAGGTTTTTTGTTTAATGATCTAGCTTGCTTCAGGGGGAAAGAGGGGAACTCGTGTGCCTGACTTCGCCAATGATTTTTTAGGGTCATGCAAGAGAATCATGCGGTTGGGGTGTGTAAGATGAAGGAAACCCCTTCTGTCGTTAGTTAACCCGCCAGAATATACCTTTTTCCTGGTTTCCTTATTGCCGGGTTTCAGAGACGGAGGGTTTTGTAGCGAAGCTGTTCGACGCCCTCGAGCGCGGGGAGATCTCGCTGGAAGACGCGGAGGAGGAGACCGCGGGGGAAGACGACGACGCGGACAAGAAGCGCAGTCGGGGGGACGACGCGGAACCCGCGGAAACGAATGAGTCTGCGAGGGACGGGGGACGAGGCGGAGGGAGGAGCGGAGGCAGGCGGGGAGATGGCGGGCAGCGGGGCGCGGATGAGGAGGGGGATAGGGGGAGAGGGGGCAAGAGAAGTGGCACGTCGCGAGAAAGGGGGGTGAGGGAGAGGGCATCGGGGGATGAGGAGAAGGAGCGGGACGAAGATAAGGGTAAAGGTGGGGAGAGGGGCGAGAGGGAGTCTTATCCCGCGGCTGAAGCGGAGGCGGAAGAGAGGGCGGAAGCAGGCGGGGAGGAGCGGGAGGAGGAGGAGGAAGGGCGACGGAAGCGGCACGAGGAGGACGAATCGAGCGATGACGACGACGACAGGAACCACAAGCACAGGCGGAGAGGCGGCGAGCGCACGTTCCGCGACGAAGGCGCGGCGGGGGAAGGAGCGCGCAGCAGAGATCCCGCGGAAGGGCGCGGTAGCGTGCACTCGCGCCTAGAGGGCGCGCGGGATAGAAGAGGAGGTGACTTCAGCGGGGGTGGCGCAGGCAGGTCGTTCCGCAGCCGCGACGGCCCCCGTTCCTTCAGGCCGGGGGATGGGGGCGGCATGGGCGGAAGGGGAGGGCCCATGGGGCGGGATTTTCCCCGCGTGGGGGGACCTGGTCCGGGGCAGCCGATTCTAGGTCCACAGATGGGCATGCCGCGGTTCCCCATGGGGGGAATGCCAGGGGGAATGGGGGGGCGCGCGGGCCTCCTCAGGGGCATGCCTGGGCGCTTTGATGGGGGCCCGGGGAGGGGCATGGGGGGAGAGCAGTGGGGCATGGGGGGAGCAGCGGGCGCAATGCCTGGTATGTTACCCAGCCGGGTCGGGCCTGGGATCCCTCCCCCCGGCCTCCCTGGGGCGCCTATGCCTGGCGCGGGAATCGCAGGGGCAGGTCCGGGCATGGGGAACGGCATGGGCGGGGGCATGGGGAGGGGGTTCTTCCCTGGGAGGGGCGGGGGAGGGGGTCCGGGGCTTATCAGACCAGGGTTCGGCGCAGGGGGGCCGGGGTTTGGAATGTTCCCAGGGGGCGGGGGCGGGGGAGGGATGCCGGGAATGGGCGGGGGAAGGATGGGCGCAGGCGGAGGGGGAAGGGGCGGGAGGGGAGCAGGCGAGGAAGGGGGTGCGGGAATGGTGGGCGGAGGGGGAGCAGGTTCGGGGGGGCCCACGGGGAAGCGCGCGCGGTGCCCTGACTTTGAGGAGAAGGGGTTCTGCCTGAAGGGCGACCTGTGCCCGCTGGACCACGGCAACTACCGCATCGTTGTGGAGGACATGCAGGTGAGACGGAGGGGTGTGTAGGTGTGCTGAGGGGCGTGCAGATGCGCAGAGAGGCGGAGGACGTGCAGTTAGCAGCACAAGTGACAGGGAGGCACACGGGTGAGATGAGATGAGGCAGCATGCGGACCTTACTTAGACGCACGCTTTCATCTCAATGTCCTTCCTTAGTCTCCATCTCTCTCCATCCTCTTATCTTCTCCTTGCGTTTGTTTCTCTCTTCAACCACGCACCCGCTTCCCCTTCCACCCCCCCCACCCCACCCCAGTCCCTGCAGCAGCTCAACCTTCCTCTCCCGCCACAATCCCTCGGCATGCCGCCAAACTCGGCCGCCCAGCCGCCGCCCAGCCAGCTGGCCGGCACACGGCGACCGAGAGCAGAAGGCGGCAGGGGCGGCAGAGGAAGAGGAGGGGAAGGAGGGGGACGAGGAGGAGGCGAGAGCGGGGCAGGGGAAGGCGGGGAGGAGCAGGAGGGGGTGGGGGTATCGGCAGCAGTGGACGGGGGGGGAGGGGTGATGGCAGACGAGGGGGAGCATTACGACCCGGACGAGGCTCTATGGGTGCATGACTCAAAGAGGGCCAAGGGCATGAGGGAAGCGCGGGCGTACGGGGGCGATGGGGCGGACGGGAACGGGCGCATGCCGGGGGGCAGGCGGGGTGCGCCTGGGGAGGTGAGCGTGTGGGACCGGATTGGGCCTGCTGGTGCTGGTGGGAGGGGCGGGGGAGGGATGGGCGGTGGTGATGGGGGCATGGGGGCAGCAGGTGGGGATGTGGGGATGGAATACACTCCTGACGGGGGCTTTAACATGGGGTACAATCCGCAGTTCCCAGGGAATTTCGGGGGTGGAATGGGGCCGGAGTTTGGAGGGAATGGAGCGGGGGAGGAAGGACCGGGCATGGGACCGGGCATGGGACCGGGCATGGGACCGGGAGGGTATGAGAGGAGAGGGCCACCAGGGGAAGGGGGCTGGCAGGGGGGACAGGGGCAGCCCGGGCGGGGGGGCAGAGGAGACTGGGGGGGGAGAGGAAGAGGGGAAGGGGGCATGGGCGGGAGAGGCCGTGGGGGAGGCAGCGAGCGGAACTCCGACCAGAAAGCCCACATGACCGTCTTTGTGAACGGCATTCCGTCAGAGCTCACAGCAGGCAAGGGCCTTCAAGCATCCCTGATCAAGCACTTCTCAAAGTTTGGTCCCGTGGTGGATATCAAGGTGCATGGGGACAAGGGCCGTGCGTTTGTGCAGCTGGGCGCGAGGGAGCATGCAGCAGCGGCCATAGCAGCTCCAGATGCGGTGCTGGGGAATAGGTTTATTAAGGTGTTCTGGGCTAACTTTGATCTTCAACCTGATCCTGCCTCTGCTGCTGCTGCGGCAGCGGCGACTGCCGCTGCAGCGGCTGCTGCGGCTGGTTCGGTCGGGGAAGGAGGCCCGGGAGCAGGGACAGGGGTGGAGGGTGGGAAAGGGAGCGGCAAGGGTGATGCTAGTGCTGGGAAGGGTGGGGCGAGTGCAGGGGGGTCAGCGGCAGCAGCAGCAGCAGTTGACCCAGCAGAGGCAGCAGCAAAGGCGAAGGCGAAGTTGGAGGAGTTGAGAGCGATACAGAAGAAGAAAGAGGCGCTGCTGCGGGAGCAGATTGAGAAGCGCCGGCTGTACCTGGAGCGACTCAAAGAGGCCAGCCAACAGAAACAGCCCTCTGCTGCTGCTGCTGCTGCTGCTGCTCCAGGTGCCTCCCCAGGTGCTGCTTCAGGTGTTTCCACGGCAGCAGGTGGCAGCGCAGCGCAGGCAGCAACAGGCAGTACAGCAACTCCTGCTGCAGGTGCCACTACAGGTGACGCTGGGGCAGCACGTGTGGGGGCAGGAGCAGCAGGGGCGGAGGGAGCAGCAGCAGGAGCAGCAGCGGCAGTGGCAGCAGCAGCAGCAGGGGGCAAAGCAGTGGGCGCGTCTCCCAGTGCCCCGTTTTCCCCTCACTCTCCTGCCGGCCCAGCACCCTACATGGGCGGCAGAGGGAGAGGGCGGGGCGGGTACGGTGGTTATGGAGGCGGGTACCACTACGGGTGGAGCGGAGGGGGAGGGGGGGCGGGAGCGGGTGGGGGCGCGTGGGGGAATAAGTTCAAACTGGACAATCGCACCACCGTGGTGCGCGTCACACCGCCCATTCCTGACGCCATCACTGAGGTGAGCAAGGGGGGGGCACGCTGGTTGCAGTTTTTGGAGTCAAACAATGCAATCACACTCCCCTCCTTTGTCCTTCCCCTTCAATTCTCATCCCACCGTGCAGGCCAGCATGCTATGGGAGCACTTCAGTGCGTGTGGGGAGGTGGTGAGCGTCGAGGTGGAGGGCGGCGGCACAGCTGTCACGCCGACCAGCGCCGTCCGCGTGCGCTTTGCATCTCGTCCCGTAGCGGAGTATGCGTATATGAACGGGAGGGTGCTGGCGTCAGGTGATGCACTCACTCTCGCCTGGGGCCCTCCTGCCACCACTCCCCATGCTCCTACCATTGCTGCTGCCACTGCTGCTGCCTCTGCTGCTGCCTCTGCTTCCCCTGCTGCGGCTGGTGCAAAGGCAGCAGGTCTTTCGCCCCTTAAGGTGGCAGCAGGGGGGGTGCAGAAGGCCGCAGGAGGAGTGGCATCAGCAGCAGCCCCATCAGCAGCAACATCAGGGGCAGTATCCTCTGGAAGTGCTGCCGTAACTGCTCCTCAGTCTGCTGCCAACGGCACTAATGCTGCTGCTGCTGCCCCTTCTGCTGCTGTTGCTGCTGCCAGTGCCGGTGCTGCCTCAGGTGCCGGCACAGCTGGTGGGGGATCAGCAGAGGGGCAGTAGCAGGAGCAGGAGCAGGAGGGGCAGGGGTGTAGGATGGGCACCAAGACACGCTATTTAGAAAAGAAGGTGAGTGAGAGGGGCTGCCCTGGTGGGTGGCTGGTCTCTCTCGCCTCGCTACGACCTCATTGCTGCGCGCCTCACTGGGTGATTGGTTGGGCCTCACTCACATTCACTCTTGACATCATTGTCATGCGGCAATTCCTGTTGCGTGGAGGTGCACGCAACAGGAATGCTCTCAACATGCGTGCGCCTCCTCGTTCCCATTCTAGACTCGACTCAGTTGGAGCGCAGGAGTTGCCTGCATTGCTTTCTTTGTTTCTGTTAAATTGACGTGTTGTAGAGAAGTAGATTCAATGCTAGGTGTACCGTACTTGTGGACTTGATAGGGTGGATATTTGACCAGCTGATGTGGCTCTAATGTTTCTGATTCACAATTTAATGTCACTGATTGATTGTTATCGAAAGTAAAGTGGAAGCCCGGGCTGTTCATACCGGATATACGTTTCCTTCCGTTCATGCACTGTGTGTGTTTGCCGGGGGGCAATCACTCATCGAATCTGCATTAATGGCGAGGCACGTCGCGCTCATCCGCGCGGTTAGGTCCGGAGCTAGGCTCGGCGAGTCCGGCAATGCTTTCCTGCCGTCGCGGTTGCTCGCGGGTGGCCGTCAGATAGGACGGCCAGAATGCGGTCTCAGTCACTCCGCACCCGCCGAGCGCGCGGAAGTCGACCGCTTGTTCTTGGGGGGAGATCCGCGCGGCTATCCGCGCACTAGCGCGCGCTTCCTGTCCTCCGTCGCCTCCTCAGAGGCAGACTCTGGAATTGCGCCTTCAACGCGAACTCAATCCGACGGCTCCCCGCACGCGCCGGCAGAATTACCTTCAACTCCTACTTTTGCCGGCTCAGAGCACCTTGACCGGCTGGACAGACGGCTGACCGTCACAGGTGCCGGAGACAGGGCGGGAGAGGATGTCACGACGGCCACGGGGCACGCTGATGTCCATGAGAATCCGAGAGGGAATACAGGCAGATCCGATTCCAGCAGCTGTGCTGATCGCTACCATGATAATGATGGCGGTACGGGAATGCGCCATGGTGACATGGATTGTAGTAGCGGTTGTTTGAGCGGCCTTGCGTTTGGATCGAGTCGCACGGATCCTAGGGATTGCCGAGATGGTGACGTTTCAAGGGGTACGAGCCATTCAGCAAGTGACATGCGGTATGGCCGTGAGAAAGTGGGTGAAATTGCGTCATGTGCTACTGTTACAGAGACCACCATACCATCTGTAGCCGCTACAGACGCCGCGCCAGCTGTAGCAGTGGACGAGAGCAACGTCTCGACTGCTCTTGGCACAGCCACGTATGTGACTGCCACGTATCGTCTCTCTATTGGTGGACCGACAATATCAGCATCAGCAGAAGCAGGATCAAGAGAAACAGCAATAAGAGAAGCAGCTGCAGCAGCAGCAGCGGCGGCGGCGGCAGTGAGAGAGCTTGTTGCAAGGCTGAGCGGCTCGCCATCCGTGGTGGCTGCATTTGTTTCTGGGGCAGGTGCATCTGAGGCAGGTGCATCTGAAACAGGTGCATCTGAGGCAGGTGCATCCACAACAGGCGCTGTGCTGGATGCGCTGTGGCGAGAGGTGGAGAGGGCTTGGGGAAGGGGAGGAGGAGAAGGGAGCGCGGGAGGGGAGAGCATTCCTTTCTTTGGGTGCGTGGTTGGTGGCAGCATGGCGCATGGGCCATGGGGCGGCGAGGGGGAGATCATGGGGGAGGCACTCACAGGTAGAGTAGGCCGTAGCGATGCGCATGGCATGGGGAACCACAGCAGGGATGATGCTGATGCTGATGAGGGTGAGGGGGAGGGGGAGGGAGAGGGAGAGGCATTGGAGTGGGAGGAGGTGGTGATGGCGGCGGCAGCGGACGAGGTGATAGAAGGCGTGGTGCTGCTGGAGCTGATTGAAGACGCTGACCACATCATCCGGGAAATGGCCGCTTTCGCCCCGCACGAGGAGGGAACGCAGCTGGGCGAGGAGGACACGCAGGAGAGGCACGAGGCAGGGAAGGTGACTGGGGAGCTCAACTGCGGCCAGTTCAGCCCTGCGGCTTCCCCTGTGACCGCCTCCTCTGTTCTCTCCGCTCCTCCTTTCGCAGAACCCTCTAACTCGTTTGCTGAGTCTATCCGAGCAATCACAGAGGGCCACGTGGCACAATCTGAGGGCGCGGTTACCCAGCGCCTGGAGGCAGCTTCCAGGAGATTTCTGGGGCTTGCAGAGGGCCTGCAGACGCGTTTAGAGGCGCCTCAGTACAAGCTGCAGGGGCTTGCGGACTCCATACAAGAGCGAATCTGGCCCAACAATGGAACCGTGCAAGGAAAAGAGTTGCTGTCAGCAAGAGGAGCTGTTTCGTCTAGAGGGGATGGTGTGACTGAGAGGCTGGAGGGGAGAGGAGAGGAAGAGCGGGAGGTGGTGGTGGTGGTGTGCGCTGCTGCCATGCCCAGTGTGGACGTGCAGGCCTTTGAGGTTGAGGGAGACGCGTTTCCGGATCTGGGCGGCAACATGGCGCACATGGTGACAAGCAACGCTGCCCATTTTGTGGTTGCAGGGACGGGAGGTAAGGGGGTGATGTGATGTGATCAGTGCGCTCTCACAGGCCTGCAGCCACATGACTACCCATTCACCTCACCCCCTCTCCTTCCTTCGCTGCACTTTCTTGCCCCTCAACCGCCCTCTAGCCCTCTCCCTGCACTTGTCCCCCCCCATTGCTGCCGCCCCTCCCTGCAGGCCCCTCACTGCCCAGGCTCCTCACGCGCCTGCACACCATCTTCCCCCACTCCTCCAGGTGAACCCGCCTAACCCCCTCTCCTCGCCCCATTCCTACTCGCCCCATTCCTCCTCGTCCCATCCCATCCCTCTCACCCCACCATGTGGTGGCTTTCCTCGCCATGCCACATTGCATGCAACACTTTCTGCCACATCACGTGCCACATATCATGCGCCATTGACTGACTCGCATGTCTTTGCCGCCACCGTCCGTCCGTTCTGCCTCTCCCCCCACAGGGCATCGCTGCTCTCCCACAACCATGCTGTCCACATGCACCGCGCCTGCGCGGCATCGCCCCCAAATGGCTCCACTGCCGGCCTCTGCTTCTCCCTGAGCCCCTCTGGTAACCACCCGCTGCTTGCGCCCCTCACACCATTACACCTGTGACCTCTACAATCTCAGGCGTTTTGAAGTTGGTCAACTGTTGCTGCATTCAGCACCATCTCTCATGTCCCTGGCGCTCATGCATCCATCCTTGTGCATCTTCCCTCCCTTTTCCTCTTGGGCCTCTCCCCCCGTTCTCCCTCCCCCTGTGCCTCCTTTCCTGCCTCCTCCCTGCCTGCACCAGCGGAGCAGCAGAGCAGCGATGCCCTGCAGGCGTGCTTCACGCACTTCATCCGCCACCTCACCCTCCCCCTCACCCCCGCCACGAGCCTCTGTGCCTCCTCACCTCCCTCGCTCACCACTGCATCTGCTGCTCTAAGCATGGACATGCCTGCAAGGGGAATTGCACCCCCTGCCCCCTGGCTTCGTGTTAAGTAAGCCTCTGCACACCTTGCCAGTCCAGTTTCCCAATGCAAGTTACCTTGTTATTCTCGAAAATTGCCACCGACTTGGTACCGTGCCTGTCCCACCTATGCCTTCCTCTCCCTTCACTCAGCGTCTCCCTTACCTTCTCCCCCATCATCATCATATGCCGCTCCATGTGTGACACACCGTTTTGTCTGCCAGCAATCCGTTGGGAGCCTCTTTGCATGCTTTGTTAAAACCAAATGCTGCTGAGCTTGTCCATGAGCCGAAAGCAGCAGATCCGTGTGTGACGACTAAAATGTAGCTATGGATAGGATGACATGACTGAGCTGATATGTAGTACGAATCTTATATATATGGAAAGCGGTTTAATATACATCTTGCTGCTGATACCAGTAGTACTTCTGGTATGCCTCTAAATCGCGAACGCAATTTGTGGTGGCACTTCGAAACACGTGGACGAATCACTCGCCACCACAATCTGACCAGGGGCGCACAATCCCAATGCTGGGTCGGGGGCGCAGCTCCTGCGACGCAATTGTGTTGTGTCGCTGTGCGAACAACCTTGAATCCCGAAGCCATTGTTTTTTTAGTAGGCTAGGCTTTTGTTTGCGGCTTCAACATCGTTAGGCTAGGAGGCGATCGGAGCTACACTTCTTGCGCTGGATGCTTGTTCTTGGCCGGCTTCACCGCTTGCCAGCCATGATTGCGCTTCGGTCGCCATTCCGTCTCGGAGCAATCAAATCGGCAGCCACATCATTGTCGCCTGCCACTGCCGCATTAACATCGTCGCCTGCCACTTCCGCATTAGCGTCGTCGCCTAGAAGATTAGACTCACGAATTTCACGTTCACCGTATGATGAGTCTCTCCTACTATCATCTAGACCGTTCCTTTCGTCCGCAAATTCCATAACCCCTGTTCCACGCCACACCCCCGTAACCCTCAAATCAACCGGTTCTAGAACCCTCTGCTCGTCGATAAGAGCAGCAGCGTCGAGCGCGGAGGGCGGAAGCAGCGGCGTGTCCGTCGCACAGGCAGCTCCCGTGAATGGAGCATCTGAGCCGACCGTTTCGGCCGAGTCAGGCGGAGCGGGATCGAGCGAGGGGAAGGCTGCTGTGAGGTGAGAGAGCGAAGGTCCCTGGAGTAGGACGGCTGCAGGCAATGCTTCAGCACGTGGCAAAAAAACAGCCGGTTTTCTAGGATTTATCGAAAACCGCCTGGTTGCTGCTCTGGGGTCGTCTGGTGGACCGTTGTATCTGAATTGGATTTGATACCGGATTGAGCCTTGCGCGTGAGCTAGTCCCCCGTTTTCTCCTCCGCTCGTTCCTTCTCGTTTGTACTCTGTTTAGAAAGCGTCTCGTTTCAGGCGTCCAGCCGACGGGAAGCATTCATTTGGGAAACTACTTGGGCGCAATCAAGAACTGGATCCCGCTGCAGGTGCGTCAGCCATCATCCAGGAGTTAATTTCGTTAGATAGACTTCCCGGTTCCGCAGTGAAAAACGTTTGTAGCTCTGGTCATGTCCGCGTGGTGTGTCTTGACGACACAACTCCATCAATCTCTCTCCCTTATTGCTATTTCATCGCGTGGCGTGGCGTGACACTGCATGGTATGGCATATCATGCGTATGCGACAATGCATGTGTGTGTGGGGGAGTGCAGGACGAGTGTGACACATTCCTCTTTGTGGTCGACCTGCACGCAGTAAGTGCTGCTTTAGACACCTTTCAATGGTGTGTACATCAAAAGGGTCCTTTTTGCAACATTTGTTGCAACAGCATCCCTGCCTGCCGCTGTTATCAGGACCTCATTGCATTTAACGCTGCAAAAGCAAGAGAAACGCATCATTCCTGGCTGCCATTGCTCTCGCCTCTCATTCCAGGTCCCCCCACCCTCATTGTCTGGCTAGCTTCCTCGTTCCCTATCCCACGCCCTCATTCTGCCTCTCCAACTCGTGTCCCGTTCCTCATCAAGCCATTATTTCAATCCTCTTTCTGCCTACAACCCTATCGTATCTTGCACTTTTTGTATCAACGTCCCTTTCTCTCGTCCTAGCTCACTCCTCTTACTACCCAGTAATCCCATCATTCCTGCTTGTCTCCCCACCTGCAGATCACGCTACCCCATGACGTGGATGACCTCTCACGCTCATCCCGCACAGCAGCAGCCATGTACCTGGCGTGCGGGGTGGACCCCTCCAAGGCCACCGTGTTTGTACAGTCGCACGTACGAGCACACGCGGAGCTGACGTGGCTGCTGTCGTGCACGACGCCCATGTCATGGCTCAACAAGATGATTCAGTTCAAGGAGAAGGCGCGCAAGGCGGTGAGACTGCACTTACTGAGTTTTGAGTCAATTCATGTCGTGGCTCAATAAAATGTATCAGTTCAAGGAGAAGGCCTGCAAGGCGGTAAGCTCCCCCACCTGCAGGCTTGTGGACTGTGCTTACCACCTACACTGTTTATCAGAGCAGCTTTTATTGTGAGACGCCTCTTGGCTCGAATGACACCCTTCAGTGCACACCTGTTCTGTCCACCCTCTCGCCCTGCACCCTCTCTCTCGCTGCTCCGCGCTGCGTGCGTTCAGGGCGAGGACGTGGGAACAGGGCTGCTCACCTACCCGCTCCTCATGGCGGCAGACATCCTCCTCTACCAGGTTCGTCACTTCGCTGCCCAGGTGCTTCTCCAGGTGCTAATTCACCGCCCAGGTTCGTCTCCAGGTGCTTATTTGCTTCTCAGATGCGTTGCCACTCTCTTCATTTCCCCTTGCCTTGCCATGTGTCCGTCCCTTGAATGCATGCCACATGCAGTGTGACGTGGTGCCAGTGGGCGAGGATCAGAGGCAGCATCTGGAGCTCACCAGGGACGTGGCTGCACGGATCAACAACCTCTATGGCGGCCGCAAGTGGAAGAAGCGCGGAGGGTATGGCCCCTTTTCCACTCCACACGCACGTGCGTTCGTCCTTTGTAAACAACAACCGCACTCGCATGCATGGCCCTTAGCAATAAACTACACCCCAGCACGAGCTCATGGAACTTGGCCCTCTCCACACCGCACACCCACACATGCATTGCATGGCGCTTTCCCCTCCCCACGCACGCTGCTCTGCGAGTCCGCCCCATAAGAGGCAGCTTCTGCTCTCCCCCCACTGCTGGCTGTTGCCCTTCTTCCCTCCATGCACAGGCGGGGCGGCAGGGTGTTCAAGGTGCCAGAGGCCATGATCCCCCCTGCTGGAGCTCGCATCATGTCCCTCACAGACGGCACTTCCAAGGTAAACGGTCCAACTGTCTATGTCTTCCCTCCCCCTTTCATTTCACATCAGCAATTCATGACGGATTTCTTTTCCGATACACAGGCTCATACCATGCAGAATCACTTGTCATCCTGCCCGTACTTCTACTCAAGAGGCCATCAGTATCCCATTCTCATGCCACGTGCATGTTAAGTGCCCACATGAACTCCCCATTCACAACGCCCTTCTCACCTCTGCCCTCGTGCTCCACCCCCTGTCACTGCACTGCACCACCATGCGTGCAGATGTCCAAGTCAGCCCCGTCGGACATGTCCCGAATTAACCTGCTCGACCCTCCTCAAGTGCGCCCTCTCTTCCTACACCCCTCCTCCGTCTATTCCTCACTTTCTCCTCTTGCCTACTGCCCTCGTCTACGCCCTCCCTTCCTCCACTCGTCCTGCACCTTTATCCTTTTTTCCTCGCTCGCGTCCTCATTCATGCCCTCCCTCTCCACTCACCCCACCTCTACTGCTCGCAGCATCCATAGCTGGCCCGCCTTGCCCATCGCGCAGCTCCACTCCAACCTAGGCGGCCGCTGAACTGAACCCCCCCTCACCTCTGCTGCTCCTCCCTGGCCCATGTGCTGAGTGCAGGTGATAGCCAACAAGATTAAGCGCTGCAAGACTGACAGCTTCACCGGGTGAGCAAGGGTGGTTGGGTGAGCAAGGGTGGTTGGGTGAGCAAGGGTGGTTGGGTGAGAGAGGGCATCGCTGAGAAGCCGGTGTTTTGATGTGGGGCCAGTGGGAAGGTGGGAGTGGTGGTATGGAGGGCTTTCCCCGAGCAGGCTTTCTCGGAGCGGGCTTTCCCTGTGCGAGCTTCCCCCGTGCGGGAAGGAGAGGAGAGAGGATGATGGGGGTTGAGTGGGGGAATGCAGTTCAGGTCACCCGTTTTCCCTCTTCTGCCCTTGCGCACCACAGCGAGGTGCTGTGCACATTCGCACCCTTCATCTTCCTCCTCGCTTCACTGCCCCTCCCTCCCTCCACTCCGCGTGGCACGTCCTCACTCAACCACCCCGTGCAGCATGGAGTTTGGCAATCCGGAGCGTCCCGAGTGCCAGAACCTGCTGTCCATCTACCAGATCGTCACCGGGAGAACCAAAGAGGTCAGTGGAGTGGGCAGGGGCGGGGTGGCTATTGAGTCGACTCGTAAGTCACCCCAAGCGCCCAGAGTGCCATGATGTCCATCTACCAGATCGTCACCGGGAGAACCAAGGAGATCAGCCCAGAGGGCAGAGGCAAGGGCAGGGAACGGGAAGGGGGAACGAATGGGTGGAAATGAGAGCGGAAACGGAGATGGGAGAGGGTGACTGGAGAGCTAACAAATGGGAGCATTCGCATTCTACTAGCATTTATGATGTCGTCAACCTGACCGGATTTTTTTCTCGTATCGGCAGAGTTAGATTCATACCTTCGCTTTAAAGCGACCCATGCCCATGCCCATCTTTCCTTTCTCCTCTCTTCCTGTCCCCTAGCATGCACTCCTTGTCCTCACTTCCCTCTCTTGTGCCCCCCTCCCTTGTGGTCCCCCTCTCTTCCTATCCCCCTCTCTTCCTATCCCCCTCTCTTCCTATCCCCCTCTCTTCCTATCCCCCTCTCTTCCTATCCCCCTCTCTTCCTATCCCCCTCTCTTCCTATCCCCCTCTCTTCCTATCCCCCTCTCTTCCTATCCCCCTCTCTTCCTATCCCCCTCACTTCCTGTCCTCATCTCTTCCTGTCCCCCTCTCTTCCTGCCCTCCTCTTCCTGTCCTCCTCTCTTCCTGTCCTCCTCTCTTCCTCTCTTCCTGTCCTCCTCTCTTCCTGTCCCCCTCTCTTCCTGCCCTCCTCTTCCTGTCCTCCTCTCTTCCTGTCCTCCTCTCTTCCTGTCCCCTTCTCTTCCTGCCCTCCTCTTCCTGTCCTCCTCTCTCCCTGTCCTCCTCTCTTCCTGTCCTCCTCTCTTCCTGTCCCCCTCTCTTCCTGTCCTCCTCTCTTCCTGTCCTCCTCTCTTCCTGTCCTCCTCTCTTCCTGTCCCCCTCTCTTCCTGTCCTCCTCTCTTCCTGTCCTCCTCTCTTCCTGTCCCCCTCTCGTGTGGCCCAACCCCCTGTATGCAAGCCAGGAGGTGGAACAGGAGGTGGGGGCGCTGAGCTGGGGGCAGTTCAAGCCGCTGCTGGCAGACGCCCTTGTTGCTCACCTAGAGCCAATCCAGGCAAGCCATGTTTCCACTAGTTCTATCGAGCACTGTCCTGCATCAGTACTGTTTTTTTTTTTTTTTTTTTTTTTTTCACGAGAGGTCGTTCGGCTTTCATCTTACCCCTCCGCCCCACCCACCCCTCTCACTTTCCCCCCTTCTGTCTCATTTGCCAGAAACGGTACGAGGAGGTGACAGCAGATGCAGCATATCTGGATGAGGTGCTGGCAGGGGGAGCAGCACGAGCCAATGAGATAGCTGACCGCACACTAAAGGACACATATGACGCATTGGGATTTTTGGCCCCTCCACGTAGATAACACAATATTGAAACAATAAGTTCTGGCACTGCAGTCCAACAGGAAAGATGTTAGCGTATGTTATTGTTATGTTATCTGCACTAACATATTGTGCCATCCATCTTACCTGACATAGAGACACCTCCCTAGTGAATGTTTTTAGCAGAAGTTATCAGTCATATTGTAGATTCCGTGCCCAGTCAACAATCCTTCAGTGCATGTGATCGGGTAACAAACGAACAATGCGAAGAACACACATCCACGACCTGACGGATATTCACTCCAACGAGCTGGGCGCTTTTTCGCCGATCACTGTAGATGTCAAGACCCTCGGGCAGGTCGAAACTCTATCGACGGCCGAGAATCCATCTCCAGCATCTCAGCCGAAACTTTCCAGGCCTTGGGAATGGATCGAGGCGGTAAAACCCTCATGGTGGGCAGCAGGTTGGGTTGTCAGATAAAAAGAGGCAGTCATCTTTTAGAGGGTTCCGCTGCTGCTTGTGCAGCTGTTCTCAGCAATAGCCTCTTGCTTCTGCCTGCCGCTCCCTCCGCTCCATCGTCACTCGCAGTCGCACTCGCACGCCCACGGCTGTGCTCCACCCTCCATGTCCGACGTGGCTCGAACCGCCCAACCCACCAGGTTCAGTCAACACCGAGCACCTCTAGCCACTTGCCTGTTCGCTTCCCTGCTTTTATAACTCGCCGCCGCAATCTCCTGTGCACTTGGTGTTTAGACCTAATCGATTGCTCGCATAGTTGCTTAGCTTGGTTTGCGCCGTCTCGACTCTCGTGTCGTTTTAGTCGTCAATCGTTCCAAACCAACATGATCCGTGACTTAGGCTGCTTCCTCTCTTATTCCTCGAGTTTCCCCCGTTCACCATCGCTGCTCCTATTATTTTCTTATCGTCTCTGCACTTGCCTTGCTCGATGGAATAAACTGGTCACTACCCCTAGCGTCTAGTTGATTTGCATAATTACGTCAAGTTTATCGCTGCTTCAGCCATGTTGTTTAGTATGTTTCTCAATCATGACGTTAAGCTTACTTCCATTCTGTTTCTCCTCCCATTTGCTGCGTTTTCTCTTGTCCTCGCGCAGGTGTTCCTTTTAGAACGTCGCCGTCGCCACGTGGATCGTGGTCCGTTATTTGCGGCGAGGTTGGAGACCAAGACTGCGTAGCTTAAAGCGGTAGTTCTTCTTCGACGTTCTGTCGCAGATAATAGTCGTCACGCATTAGGGTAGCACCATCCGTGGTTTCAGTCAGCTAGCCCCGCGGAGTTGTCTTACCTCCACCGTCAACATTCTCTTTTCGTTCACGATAGCCGGTAGTTTCGGTCTACGCCCCTGGAGCAGCACACCTTAGATCGATCGCATTAGTCTCCGCGACCCTCGCCGCCGCTAGATTACGGCCGCTTCCCAACGATCTCTTTTTCTCTTAGCGAGCAGCTGCAGTTCGAATAACGACATTTGACGACAGATCGACGAAATCGGCAAGCGGGTCAACCGTCGCTACAGCAAAAGTCGCATTTTTACCAGCATCGGGTATCTTTTACCCCTCCGATTGGATCTGGTTACTTTCATGGACGGACGCTCAAATCCCTCCCTACCAGGGAATTCCCTTCTCGCCTCCACACTTCCCTCTCAACCACCCTTATCGTCGTCTCTCCTCGCCCCGTCCTCCGTTCTCCCCCCGACTATCCCCCAAGCGGGACTCATTTCCGCGAACCATCAGGCAACGCAATTTAGTTCCGCCATCGCATCTGGCGCAAGCGTGAACCCCGCGATTTCGCAAGCTTCCGCCTCGCGGCCAGTTGCGCCTGCGCCCGGTAGAGTTCCGCGGATTGCGCAGGTAATGTCAGCGCGGGTAGCGCCTCAGCCGCCGCTACAAGCCTCCCCTTCCCCGCAACTGGCGCCTGGTCAAGTGTCCGCTTCGCCGCAGCCTTCCCCGCAGCAGATGCAGCAGGCGCTGCAAACCCAAAGGCAGCAACAGCTCCAAGCACAGCAGCAGCATTTGATGCAGTCGCAACAGGCCAGTCAAACGCCGAATCAGCAGCAGAACTCACAACCCCAGGCGCAGCAGCAGCAGCAGCAGCAGCACACCCCGCAGAAGCCGTCGCTGCTGCACCCCCTCCCGCCGCGCGTGCACCAGCAACCGAGGCCTATAGCCATTCGGCCAGTGCAGGCAGCGGGGCAGCAGCAGGCGCAACAGCAGCCGCAGCAGCTGCAGCACCAAGCGTCACCACTCGCTTCGAGAATATCCCCTCAGCAGGCGCAGCAATCAACGCAGCAGATGCAAGCTCTGCAGCAGCAGGGGCTGCAAGCTCCGGGAAGCTTCCCTTCACCTGCGCAGCAGCCCATGCAAGCGACTCAGCAGCAGCTGCAGCAACGGCGGCAACAGCAACTTCAGCAGCAACAACAGCAGCAACAACAGCAGCAACAGCTGCAGCAACAACAACAGCAGCAGCAACAGCAACATCGGCAGCAGCCGCAACAACAGCAGCAGCACCAGCAACAGGTGCAACACGGACAGCAGGGAAATTCGCAGGTTCAAACACAGCAGCAGCTGATGAAGCAACTGCAGCCGTTGTTGCTGCAGCAGCAACAGCAGCGCCAAGCGCAACAGTATGCCCAACAGCAACAGCAGCAGCAGCAGTTGCAGGCAGAAATGCTCCAGCAAGTTCAGACCTCGTCACCACAGCAGCAGCAGAACCACTCTCATCCGCCACTGTTACCGCAGCAGCAGCACCAGCAACTGCAGCTTGGAGTCCAACAGCAACAGCAAAAGCCGCAACAGCATCAACAGCAGCAACCAGTGCAGCAGCAGCAGCTAAGACAAGCACAGCAGGCAGCGCCGACGCAGGTGGGCCAGCAGCTGAGTGTGGCACAGCAGAGAGCGCTGCAGCAGGACCAGCTGCTTCAGAAACTCACTCCCCAGCAGAGGCAGCTGCTCTCTCAGACGTTTCAGCAACAGCAGCAGATGCAAATACAGCAGCAGCAACAACAACAGAGCGCCGCCATGCATGCACAGAACCACTCGCAGCACAAGCCCCTGGTTCCCAAGCCCCAGGTGCTGCCCCCTGCATTGCTTCCGCTGTATCAGCTGCACCCTCCGCAACACCTTAGCTCCTCGGCCCAGCAGGGCAACTCATCTCAGGTGGCAAACTCGTCCCGCCCTGCGCAGGCGCAAGTGCAGAACCAGAGTGCTCTGCAGGCGCAGCAGGCGCAGGCTAGAGGACAGGCGCAGGCACAGGCGCAGGCGCAGAGGCAGGGGGGTGCAGAGGCGCCAGCAGCAGTGGCTCAGGCGCAAGGGGGTGGGCAGCTGCGGCTGCCTGGTGTGGCAGGGGTAGCGGGGATGCCAGGGGGAGCGGGGATGGCAGGGGGGACGGGGGTGGCAGGGGTGGCAGGGGGAGCAGGACAGCAGGTGAAACCCCCTATGAGCGCAGCAGCTAAGCAAGCTCAGGCGAGGATGACACAGGCTCAGCAACAGGCGCAGGCGCAAGGACAGGTACAGGCACAGCAACAGGCGCAGCAGCAGGCACAGGCACAACAGGCGCAGGCGCAGCAGGGGCAGCAGGGGCAGCAGCAGATTAATGCGCAGAGGCAGCGGTTGCAGCAGCAGGTGGAAGGGTTCTTGCAGCAGAAACAGGGGCAGGTACAGGGACAGGTGCAGGGACAGGTGCAGGGACAGGTGCAGGGACAGGTGCAGGGACAGGTGCAGGCGGTGCAGGTCCCACAGCAGCACGGGAAGGTGCAGCAACAGCAGCAGCTAGTACCAAAGCCACAGCAACAGCAGAGAGCGCAACTGCAGCAGATCCAGCAGCAGGCACAAGCACAGGCACAGGCACAGGCACAGGCACACAGAAATGCACAGGCACAGGCACACGGAGATGCACAGGCACAGGCACACGGAAATGCACAGGCACAGGCACAGGCACACAGAAATGCACAGGCACAGGCACACAGAAATGCACAGGCACAGGGCCACGGAAATGCACAGGCACAGGGCCACGCACAGGCACAGCAGCGGGCGCAGCAACCGCAAGCAAGGCGAGCACAGGCTGGATCTCAAAACCCCCTCGAGCTCCCCGCCCTCTCTTCCTCCCGCCTGCCCCGACTCACCTCGCCGCCCCCTCTGCCCAAGCGGCCAGCCGCACAAGTGACCCCTACAGCTGCAGCAAAGGCTGAGAACCGAACCAGTGGTGCTTGCACTGGCCTCTCTGGGGCAGCACCTAGGTCAGCAGCACCTGGGCCAGCAGGACAGGGTGCTGGATCTGTGGGGATCAAGAGAAGTCCTGCTGTGCCAGGTGGCGCCATCGCAGAGGTGAAAGCAGGTGCAGTGGGCTCACAGCAAACAGTTCCGGGGAGAGGTGCTGCTGATACCAAGGCTGCAGCGGCTGCAGCAGCAACGGCGGCAGCGGTGGCGGCGGCGGCAGCAGAGAGGGAGAAGCAGAGGCGACGGAAGCTGCAGATGAAGGCGCTGCAGGCTGTGCTGTCCCAGTGCTCTGCGGTGCGTTCTGCTCCACTCCCCGCATGGGCTCGCTTGTAACCTGCTGTTGAGGTTTCTTTGTTGTTGTGTTGTGATTATGCCTGGCGCTTGGGGATGCACATGCTGCTTTGGTTGTCTTCCTTCTGGACTCAGTGTGCCCTGACTCCACATGCTCACCTTCACTCACGTGCTCCCCCCTCTGTATCTCTATCTCCTGTCTCCCTCATCAGGAGTCCTCAAGAGCACACAACCTCCGCCTACAGAGACTCCGTGAGGCTGACGAAGCTGCAGAGAAGGCTCGGGCCGAGGCTCTGGCTCGGTACACCAGCAATGCGGAGCTGCTGCAGGAAATCTTCACCTGCGATGCCACGCAGCTCTCTGGACTGGCCTCCTGTGCCGCCCTGTGGGGGCGTCGGGGTCCCCCTGGTGCCCCTGGGGAAGGCGATGCAAGAGGGGACTGCGAAGGGGGTAAAGGGGAGGATGAGGTGGATGCACGAGCGGCAGAGACAGGGTTTGAGATGCTTGCTGCCGTGGCAGCTGACGGCTTCGGAAAGAGGAACGAGGAAGAAAATGCCAGGGCTGGTGCTCCTGATACTTCAGCACCTGATGGTCTCACAGGGTCGTTTTTAAAAGCGTCACATTCTAGAGCCGTACCACATGATCCGACTTTGCCTTTGACTAAACCTTTTGCTGGGCGTCAAGCAGGGGAGGGGCGATTTGGAGCAGCCAAGGGGGGGGAGCGGTGGGTGCAGGAGGTGGCTGTAATGGCAGCTGACTTTGATCCTGTGGTGATGGCATTCACGAATCAGCTGCCGGGCAGGGATCGCGCTGGAGGGATGCATGAGGTTGGTGAGAAGAGGCTCAGGGAAGTGGGGGTGGAGTCAGGAGAGGGAGAGGTTGAGGAGGCTTGGCGTGGTAGGAGGAGCATGCGGGGTGGGGCGTGGGATGATGTGGCGGCAACAGAATCGGCAACTGTTAGCGCTTCACGTCGCCGATCGGGTCAATGGGCAGGCTCTTTTGTGAACGCTTCTGAACCAGTTGTGATTGACGATGCGGAGGACGAGGCAGAGGAGAAGGACGAGGAAGATAAGAGGTTTGATGAACTGCTGGAGGAGAGGAACAAGAAGATGGATGAGTTTGGACAGATTATGGCATTAGCAGCTGTAGCATCGACTGCAACTGACGTAGGAAAATGTGAAGCACTCTTTGCTTCATGTTTCCCCCAAACACGTTGAAATAGGGATTGATTGATGTCATAGGAAGCGTAGCAACTCTCTAACGTCTAATTATAGGAGTAATGGAATTTTCTACATAGATTGACTAATTCTCAAAAGCAGTTTTTTGCTGTTACTCTCTACTGCGAAGCAAACCAATTGGTCAGGTCAAGGCATTTACAGCTGTTTACGTTTGAATATTGCCCCAGACCACTGCGGAGTCGCAACTTTCCCGCGCTTTTCTGAACCGTTCTTTCCTGGCCTGGCGGGGAACTCTGGTACATTTCCACCAGGCGCAGCCAATGAGGCGGTTTGCAAACTTCCCCCACGGACTGCCGAACCAGAAGCAAGGGCATTTCCGAGCCAAAACATGTATGGCGGACGCACACCCAACCTGGAATTTGCAATTCTGCGCGGCGACCATGGGATGGCCATTCCATGGGTTCTGCGACGGCATTCCCTGAGTCCCCCATAACGAACATCCAGAAGACTTGTCCATAAGAATTTGACGCCTTAGCTCAGAGCTTGCAAGATTCTTTTGGCATATGCGCGTGGTTGTATGAAGGCCATGGTGTCGTAGCTCTGTCTAATATCTCTAGTTGCATTCGCTTTTTGTCGCGATCGTGTCGGGCCGCACAAGGCTTAGTTCGTCGCGTTTTGTAGTAACCGAATCTCGCCTTCTGAGGATTTCTAACAGGCCGTGCTCAGATCCTCGAGTAAGCTGAGGCTTGCTCTCTATTTCCGGATCCACCGCTACATCTAAGTTATGCGACTAACTAGACCTAGTCAATTGTCGATTATAGACTGATACAATGGGGTTGGAGGACTACCATGTGATAGAACTAGTAGGAGAGGGGTCATTCGGCAAGGTGTACAAGGGACGACGAAAGTTCACTGGCCAGGTGAGGGAACGCGAAGGCACAATTCAACGATGTAAATGTTCCGAAGTGAGGTGGATCTTGACGCATCTTTCTGGCTTGCTGCAGATGACGGCAATGAAATTTATTCTGAAGCACGGGAAGAGCGAGAGGGACATAAAGAACCTACGGCAGGAGATCGAGGTACAGAAGTTTTCCGCTTTCAGTTCCGTGATTCGCATTCAGCGCAATTGATCACTTGAACATTTGTCCTCTTTCCCTGAACCGGGACTCCCAAACATTAAGCCTTAAAAAAAACATGTACTTTCTTTCTCTCCCATCAGATTCTCCGGAAGCTGAAGCACGAGAACATAATTGAGATGCTCGACGCCTTCGAGACCCCGCAGGAATTCTGCGTCGTCACGGAGTTCGCACAGGTGAGGCAACCTCGCCCCAGTTTCTCTCTCAGCCTTCCCTCCAGCCTCCCTCCAGCCCTCCTTCCCGTCCTCCTTTCATACTCCCTCCAAAATCTTTCCCAGCATCCCCCGCAAGCCTCCCATCCAATCTCACCTCCAGCACATCTTCTCTCCCTCGCAACATGCGCCCGTTGTTCATCTCCATCATCCTTCTCTCCCCGCTTTCTTCTCCGTGACCATCCACGTTCCTGCATTGTCCGACCGCGGCAGGGCGAGCTCTTCGAAATCCTGCAGAATGACCAGGCGCTACCCGAGGCGCAAGTGCAAGTCATCGCCAAGCAACTGGTGAGAGAAACTCACAAGCAGCTAGTCAACTCATGACGAGCAGCCGATACCATCTCGTGTCGCTAGTCCACGCCCCCCGGCCCAGAAGCTCATCCCCACCTGCTTCGGTCACATCCCCCCCCTTTTCTTCCCCCCACACACCTGCCTTCACCCACCGCCCCCCTCCCGTCTCTCCTCCTCCAACCTCACCCGTTCTAAAAAGCCTTTGTTCCTTCCCCTCCCCCTCCAAACCTACCCGCTCCCCCATCCACGCGCGGGTTCAGGTGCGCGCGCTGTACTATCTGCACTCGAACCGCATCATTCACCGCGACATGAAGCCGCAGAACATTCTGGTGGGCGCGGGCGGAATCATCAAGCTCTGCGACTTTGGCTTTGCGCGCGCCATGTCGTGCAACACCATGGTGCTCACATCCATCAAAGGTGCGCCATGTCGTGCAACACCATGGTGCTCACATCCATCAAAGGTGCGCCATGCCGTGCAACACCATGGTGCTCCGATGAACCTTTAAACTCCATTCAAAGTAGCACAACGGCGCCGGAGCTAGAGCTTGTTCGAGGCTCCATTCAGAGTTCTCCCTCACCCGCTCCTTCTCCTCCTGCCCTGTCCTCTGCTGTACTGCCGAGCAGGCACGCCGCTGTACATGGCACCGGAGCTGGTGCAGGAGCAGCCGTACAACCACACGGTGGACCTGTGGTCACTGGGCGTCATCCTGTACGAGCTCTACGTGGGGCAGCCGCCCTTCTACACCAACTCCATCTACACGCTCATCAACCACATCATCAAGGCAAGCCCTGACTCAGGCAAGCACTGGGACTGCTGCCATCGTTGAAAGTTAGCCGCCCTTTTACACCAACTCCATCTACACGCTCATCAACCACATCAACAAGGCAAGCCCTGGGACTGCCGAGTCAGGCAAGCAGCGTTGACAGGTGTTGGAGATAAGAAAGTGAATCTACCACTGAAAAACGAATATGATTCAGCGTGGGCTGCTCAATTTGAGACACTTGAACAATTGTTCATTTTCCCCTCGCCTGGTGCGTCTCAACTCAACCCCCTTATGCTTCCCTGCGCAGGACCCGGTGAAGTACCCCGATGCCATGAGCACGAGCTTCGAGCACTTCCCACGCGGGCTGCTCATGTTGAAACACTTCATCTCCCACACTCAACCCCTCTCAACCCCCCATACCTGGCCATGCAGGACCCGGTGAAGTACCCCGACGCCATGAGCGCGAGCTTCAAGCACTTCCTGCACGGGCTGCTCAACAAGACGCCGCAGAACCGCCTCACGTGGCCCGCGCTGCTGGAGCACCCCTTCGTCAAGGAGACCGCCGAGGAGATCAGCGCACGGGTGAGCGCATGGCCTGGGTACGGGTGCTGCGTGGAGGCGGGGTGATGCCTGGAGGAGGGGTGCTGGGCGGAGACGGGTGCTGGTTGGTGGCAGGGTGCTGGATGATGATGGGGAAGTGGCGTGCTCGTTTTGCTGTCCATACTGGTCAAGATCTTGTATGGCTTGCCAATGCTTGCGTTGATACTAATGCATGTGTGTGTGCTGCTTGGGCTTGTGCGTGGCAATGGCAATTGAATGGCAATGGTATGACAATGATAATAAAATGGAAATGGCAGGAGGAGCGAGCACAGAAGGCGATGGAGCGAGCATGCAGGGCAGCATGGCACGCACGTGCCAGCACGTTCCTTCCCCACCCGCTCATGCCCTCCGCCGCCAAGGAGAACGCCAACGCTGCACCAGGTCAGCCCCCACGACTGGCGCCCTCTGCCCTGTGACCTTACCCATGCATGCCAATCAATCTCATTCTGATCGCTAGGTCGTTGTTGTGAGCGCATAATGAACTCTTTGCACTGCGTGGCAAGGCTGTACCTGGCACTGCGTGGCAAGGCTGTACCTGGCACTGCGTGGCAAGGCTGTACCTGGCACTGCGTGGCAAGGCTGTACCTGGCACTGCGTGGCAAGGCTGTACCTGGCACTGCGTGGCAAGGCTGTACCTGGCACTGCGTGGCAAGGCTGTACCTGACACTGCGTGGCAAGGCTGTACCTGGCACTGCATGGCAAGGTCGTACCTGGCACTGCGTGGCAAGGTCGTACCTGGCACTGCGTGGCAAGGTCGTACCTGGCGCTCAGCTCACTTCTCTCCCCTCCCTTCTCTCCTTCCCCCCCTGTGCCTCCACCAGACGCCAAGGCGGCGCCAGCAGCAGGGGGCACGACGCCTGTACCGTGTCCGCCAGGCAAGAAGGCGCGCGAGCTGCCTCTGCGCAACATAGAGGCCCGCGCCACCCCCCAGAACCTCTTGCCCGCCAAGGGCCCCGCCCCACCCGCTCAGCCCGCCCAGACGCCAGCGCAGCCGCAGCAGCAGCGGCAGCAAGTGCAGCAGCAGCAGCGGCAGCAGGGGGAGGAGGGGCCTCGAGGGGCGAGAGCAGCGCGCGCAGCAGAGGAGATGCCGCCTCCCGCTCAGCCAGCAGCCACAGGTTGATCCCGCCTCTTCCTCTTCGCTCCTCCAATCCAGCGCCCACTCCCAAGCCGCCTGCACTCATCATTGTGTGCTGTTGCCGTTCTGGGCTTGGCTTTCCCACGACTGCTCTGGGTGACCTTGTGCATGCCTTATGCATGCCTTACGCATGCGCCATCGAAACAAACATCCATGCCCCGTGACGACTCATGCATGCCCTCGTTGTATTCCGTGCACACATCCATGGTATCCCACCAGGGAGGAGCTGGCTGCTGAGATGACTCGAGGTGACTTTTGAGGCGCCACAGCTTTTGACTTTTGAGGCGCCACAGCTTTTGACTTTTGAGGCGCCACAGCTTTTGACTTTTGAGGCGCCACAGCTTTTGACTTTTGAGGCGCCTCAAAACACATGCATGCCCTCATTGTATCCCGTGCATGCTTCCGTGGTATCCCACCAGGGAGGAGCCGCCTGCTGAGGCGACTGGAGGTGATTCGCTCGTTCCTCCCAAAGGCCGCCTCCGCATCCCCGTGAGTGCCCCACCTGCGCTACTCACACTGCTGCCTCGTTGCGCCAGCCTTCTTACACACACGGCCGCTGCAGCAGCTGCCACACTTCCCATCCCTCCCCTCCACTCCCCACGCTTCCCCTTCCCTTCACTCCCCTCACCTCCTCTTCACTTCCCTGCTCTCCCCTCCCTCCCCCCCCACCAGTGACTCCATAGCAGCAGCAGCGAGCGCGCTGCACTCCCTGGCATCGCTCGTCACCGACCGCCACCCCTCCGACCCTCCTCTGGACGTGCGCTGCCTGCACTACGACGTGCTCCCCGCCGTCCTATCCCTGCTCGACACGTGTCTCGCGGACAGATCCTCCCGCCTGCAGCCTGTGCTGTGCCCCGCGCTGGCCCTGCTCCGCTGCGCCTTCGCCCTCAGGGCGTCCCTCGCGGGCAACCAGACAGGGAGGGAGAAGGAGAGAGAGAAGGAGAGACAGGGCAAGGGGGGAGCGGGAGGGGGCGGGAAGAAGGGCGAGGAGGGGGAGTGGGATCGGGAGACAGAGGGGGCGTTTTTGGAGAATGCTCTCTCGTTCATCAAGAAATACCCCAAGGTGCGCCGTGCCCCTGTCGCCTAATGTTTCTCATAATCTCTTCTTGTGCAATCAGCACCTAGTCGCCTCCGAAATCATTGTACCCCATGAGCATTCCCACTCCTCGCCACCTAATCTATCCTCATTCCAATTCCCCCATCCCGCCCCCAATGCTTCCCCCCGCCACCTGCGCGCAGGTGCTGGAAGGGCCAGCGCAGCAGTCAGGCGAGGCGTGCCACCTCGCCACGGCCTCCCTCACTCTCCTCCTCGCCGCCTCCTCTGCTGCCGTCCGCGCAGCCTGCCTCCCCGGAGCCTCCCCCCCCGCCCCTTCCGCCACCGCGCCCCCGTCCACTGGCTCACAGCGGCAGCAGAAGGCAGGGGGCAGCACTCGGGACAGGAGCACACGCGGTACCCAGGGAGCAGCAGCAGGCGGAGGGGGAACAGGGGGGCGGGGAGGGGCAGCAGCAGGGGCGGGTAGTGTGAGTTACGTGGATACAGAGATACTGTCGTGCGCACAGGCAGTGGCTGTTACAGAACACATGGCGCGCTGCATTGCTCTCGCAGGGAAGGGGCTTGCTCTTGCTGCACAAGAGCAGGAGAGAAAGGGCGCTAGAGGCGGGGCTGCTGCCCGGGGTGCCGGCCGGGCAGCTGAAAAGATTGACGCGGAGGAGGCGGGGGAGTGGCAGCAGGCGAGTCTGCAAGCTCTGCTGGGGATCTGGGCAGCTGTGGAAGGAATGGAGGCAGCTAGCGGGGAGTGGAGCAGCGGGGATAGGAAAGGCTTCCCGTTAGCAGTTATGCTCGGGGCTGCACCGGGGTGGGAGGGCGTGGAAGGAATAGGGAAGAAGGGAGGGAAGCTGCGGAGGGCTCTTGGGGAGAAGCTTGAGAAGGGGAGGTTTGTGGGCGAGAGGTTGCTGCGACGAGTTGTTGAGGTGATTATCGGGAATGGGGCCAGTGCGAGTGCGGCTATAGCTGCTGCACTGGAGATGGTAGGAGGGAACAATGTGCTGCTTCCCAGGCTCCTGCAGCTGCTGCTGCGCTGCTGCCTCTTCTCCCCGTCCTTCTGCTGCCTCGTGGCCCGTGCACCCATCCCAAACGCCCCCTTCCCCGGGCACGATGGGAGCATTGTGTCGGGAGGGGGTCCCGACTCCCTGCTTGCAACCATCTTCTCCCTCCTCCACTCCTCTCCCGCTGCTCCTGAAGACGCCTTGCAATGCAGCGTCCGGGCGGCGTTGGCTTGTCTGGTAGTGGCGGCTGTAGCGGAGGGGCTGGGGTTGAGGGGCCTGCAGGGCGGTAAGTGGGTGCTGACGTCAGACTCGCAGGTGCAGGAGGTCAGGCTGGCGGTTCTAGGGAAGCTGGCAGGGGATGGCGGATTAGGGGAAGGTGAGGGAGGGAGGGGTGGTGGGAGCAGAACGAGAGGAGCAGCAAGGAGTGAAGCACAACAGCAGCAGGGGATGGGGGTGGGGCCGGGGCGGCCGTCAGCAGCAGCAGCAGCGTTGGCCATGGCAGTGATCATGGAGCTAGAGCTCGCTCAGTCAGGCGAGCGCCGAGGCTCCTTCGGAGGCGGGTCGTGGGGCGGCGGCAGGGCCTCATTTGGCGGCACCCCTGGCAGCAGCAGCCCAGCAGACGCGCCTGACTCTTCAAACATCTCCGACCTTGTGCTCAAGCACCTTCCCCCCCTCTCTCTGCTCTCCTCCAAGCTGCGGGTTGCTCATGCGCCGGGGTATTCCAAGGCGATGGAGGGGTTTGGGGCGTGTAATGGCGGGTGGGGGGAGCTGTGGGGGGGCGCGGGGAGGGTGGTGGGGCGGTGGCACGGGGTGCGGGACGGGTATGTGGGCATGCTCACAGTCTCCCTGCGCCTGGGGGGTCCTCAGGCGGTGGAGAAAGCTCTTGGAGATGGATTGCTAGTGTCTATGATGAGCGTGCTGGCAGGGGGTGTGGGTGCGGGGAAAGGAGTGGGGAGGGGCGGAGCGGGGGAGGCGGTTGAGGGGGAGAGGGCGGCGTGGGCGGCGGGGGAGAGGGGGTTCTCGCCCCCGGACCATGTGGGGCTGTCACCCACGGGCGTCATGTGGCTGCTGGCAGGGCTCTACATGTGCCTGCCTGGTGCGTATCTTTTGCCCCTCTGTTCCACAGCTTTCTCCTCTTGCCCCCCATTCCGTGACTTCTACTGCAGTGTCTCCGCTCTGCTTCGTGCCTCGTTTTCAACTCAATGCCCGATTTGTTTCTCCAGCCTCTCATCCCACGTAGTGTTCCTGCTTGTCCCCATGCTCTGCCTCCTCTGCTGCTCCCTCACCTCTCCCCATCACTCCTCCCTGTGCCGTCCCTTCTCCCTTCCCGCTTACCTCTCAGCCGGTGGTTACCGCGATGCCCTGATTGGCGCAGACCCCATCGACATCCTCCTGAAGCTTCTCGGAACCTTCCACCTGGCGCACCTGCAGGCGTGGGACAACTGCCAGGGGGGGCCGTGGGGGGAAATGCAGCTCGCGCTGGGGGGGGGAGGCGCGGAGGGGTCTGGAGGAGGCGGGGGAGGTGTGAGAGGGGGAGGGGGGGCGGAAGCTGGGCACATGTGGGGGGAAACAGGGTGGGTGATGGAGGGAAGCTTGGAGGGAGTGGCACAGCCGGTATCACTGGATATGGTGGTGGAGCTAGTGTGTGGTGTGGTGGACGTGCTCCTATTCCCCTTCCACGCAGTTGTTGCAGGGGATACTATTGGTGGGGCTAGCAGTGCGGGCGGCACCACCAGTGCTGCGCCCGCTGCTTCAGCAGTTAGTGGGGCGGCGGGCGGCAGCAGCGTCAGGTCGGGCGGCAGCGGGGGGGAGATGGATGAGCTGTCTCGGGCGCTGCTGGCGCTGCAGCCTCAGTACCTGCAGATGCTCCAAGAGGTGCGTGGGTGGGACTTAGTTTTGAGGCGCCAAATACATTGGCGCTGCAGCCGCAGTACCTGCAGATGCTGCAGGAGGTGCATGGGGTGGGCTCGGAGCATCTTGGGTTCCCATGCTGCATGTCGTATTTGTGCTTGAAGCATCTCAAATGGAGACTTCCTACCTCAACATCCACCTGCTCGTCCAGCAAGCCCCATCTTGTTGCAGCATCTCATGTCCACTCTCCTCCTTTCTCCCCCTCTCACATTCCTCGCAGTCGTCGGCCATCCCAGTGCTGTTGGCGTCACTGGCGGTACTACAGGGCCCAGCGCTCATCGGCCCCATCAACCTGCTGTCGCGCATTGCCCACCACTCGCCCGCAGCAGCTGCCCTGCTGGTGCGGCACGGGGGCCTGGACCCGGGGCTCATGGGGAAGCTGTTTGGCATGGAGGAGCCCGAGGAGGGCGAGGGGGAGGGGGCGGAGGGGGGGGACGGCGAGGAGGGGCAGGGGTACGTGATGGAGGTGGTCATGGACGTGCTGCTCATCGTCTCCCACCTTTCGCGGCTCTCCGAGGTGCATGCTCGCTGCTGTAAGGGGGGTGATTTTCATGTCATGTGTATGAGGAGGCAAGGGTAAGGAGGGGCAGGGGTATGTGATGGAGGTGGTCATGGATGTGCTGCTCCTTGTGTCACACCTCTCCCGGCTCTCTGAGGTGCGTGTATGTTCCTGTTCACCATCTGCTCATCGTCTCACCCGTCCTGGGTCTTCTTCATTGTCTGCCCATACCCGATACCGCAACCACCTGATTCTGCTCATGCCTGCTATCCCCAGGCCCTTGTCCATGCACTTTCTAACTCCTGTTCCACGTCTCACAGACTCCTCCACTGTCTTCTTTCGCCTTGTTCTCCCCCATGCTCTGGTCCCTCTCCCCACAGGACTACTATGAGCCCATAGCCACGGCGGACATCTACGGAGCACTGGAGGTGTTCCTTGCACACCCCGATGCTGGCGTGCGCTCCAAGGCCTGCAATGCCGTGGGCAACATGTGCCGCCACTCCGCCTACTTCTACCCCATCATGGTGCGCCTCATTTCCCATGCGCTGTGCGGAATGTTTTAGTAGTATCATCATGGCAGGTGCTGTGATCCAACCAATGCATGCATCTGTGTGTGTGTGTGGGCAACGTGAGCCTCCCTTTGATCTTGTGGCGTTTACTTGTGTGCTGATCTCGTTTTGGCCCTGTCTGTGTCGACGGCAGGTGGACTCCGGGATTCTATCGCGCCTCATAGAGTGCTGTGCAGATCATGACCGCAACACACGCAAGTTCGCCTGCTTTGCGGTGAGTGTGACATTGCATGTGTGTGCATGCAGCACAGGAGTGCGATCTGCTAAGGCCAGAGTCAGTTGATAGGTATATGTATTCATTCTCTGCTCTGTGCTTTCCTTGCGGCCACTGCAATTTGATCTTCTTCGTGTCCTGTCAATCCCTCGGCCTCTCATTGCACCACCTTCTTCTCCCCATCCCAACAGATTGGCAATGCAGCATACCACAACAGTTCGTTGTACGCCGCCCTGAGACCAGTCATCCCGCACCTAGCGGTGCTGCTAGCAGCCGAGAGCGGGCCGCCCAGCAGCAGCGACGACAAGATCAAGGCCAACGCTGCAGGCGCGCTGGGCAACATGGTGCGCAACTCCGGGGAGCTCTGCCACGACCTCATCTCCCAGGGTGCGCTGCAGGTGAGCTGTGGTGGTGATGCAAGGGACAGATGGTCATGCATTTTCAAGATGCTGGGGCCAGCGTGCGCCCTTGGGTGCTCTGCAAGATGTCTGTTGAGAATCTTCATGGGCTGCACTTGATGCTTATGTTGCAAATTGCGAGGGAACACCTTTCTCTCACGTGGACCTTTCTGTGTGTGTTGCAGGCTTTGGTGGACTTGGTAGTGACTGGAACCAGCCAACAACAAACTCCGCGGAGAGATGGAGGCGAGTCGCAGTCACCGGTTAAGATTGCTTTGTTCTCCCTTGGCAACATGTGCTCTCATTCGGCGTGCCGGGAGTATCTTCGATCAATAGACATCTTCCGTATTCTACATCGGCTAAAGCGATCCGGAGACATGACCATAGTGAAGTATGCCACCCGCATTCTCAGCAAGTTCCCTGAAATGCGAGCACACTAATATACGTGTTTAGCAGCCAATGGGTATGCCGCTGTTATTGTTAGGGTTAATGAATGCAATGAATGCATTGCAATGAGGGCCAGCATTTTGTTGGCATTAGCTTATAAGCTGTTTAGTGTGTTTTCCATAACGCGAGTTTTGTCGCAGTTGCGCTTGGGTTCGACAAGAACACATCTGTACTGGCGCTGGCGACACCTGGTGCCTTAACCAATCCGAGCGCCTCGTGAAGTCGATCGCACGATTCGAATTCTTGTCCACGACGTCACTGTTCCGGTTGGGCGACGTTTTGATTTGTGCGCCACGACGCGGAAACGCCAACAGAGCGCGATGCGACGATCTGGACAGTCGTTCACGTCGCACGAGTTCCTCAATTAGGTTCACCTAGGAGCCAAACCCGTCACTAGGAAACAGAATTTCAATTAGCCCCTTTCGTTGGCCGTACTTTTTTGTCCTCTCTCATGTCCGCTTTCACACGTAAGGGCACACGCTATGGTCCTTGATAATCCGTCAAAATGTCCGACCGTATTCCCACCCGACTCGACTTGCCTTGACTGGGACATAGGCTGTGACGTGAACTTCGACTCATGAGCCGTGGCTCCTTCTCTTCGTCCGTCGGGCATATTATATTATAATCGTCGTATTTTGCGAGGTAAAACGGCATTCTGGGAGCTGAACATATGGCGTTTCGACTCGAGCAGTGACATCGCTATAGATCACATATCCTTTCGACAACTAAGCCGGGAACCATTTCTGTCAAAATGCTCGCTATTATGGCGAGCTCCGCCGAAACTTGCCTGCAGCCGCCCCTCCCGCGCGCCTCCGCCTCCTCTCGTGCGTTCCTCCTGCTCATCGCAGCCATCCATCTCCTGCCCTGGGACTGCCGCGCTGCCGTCCACTCAGACTCGGCCTTAGGTTCCGCGTTGCCTGCGCGACACGGCTTCAGAGGACGAGGCCTGGCCGACGCGGACTCCAACCGCGTTCCTCCTTCCAGCGCCGATCGCGCCAGTCTTGCCGCGATTTACGGCACCAGGGACGCGCTCCTCACGGATCAGCTCCGCAGACAGGCATCGATCACCGGCTTACCCACGAATCGCGTGAACGGAAAATGCGCCCTAGCACGTCTCAAATTCGGCGCAATTTTCACGTTTGGCGACTCGCTCTCTGATGTTGGCAACAACAACTACGGCCGCTTGGTCAGTTTCTATCGCGCGAACTTCCCTCCTTATGGAATGAACTTTATCCCCGCTAGTGGGAGGTTCAGTGATGGCAAACTCGTTATTGACTATCTCTGTAAGTAACAGACATCCGCGCAAGGATTCAGGCCTGCGTGAATTTCAAGACCCTCACTCTGCTGCACTTTTTGTCTATATCTTCTTGCAGCAGAATATTTTGAGCTGCCCGCCGCCCCTGCAGCCTTCCAGCCTGGCATCAACAGCAGTGCCGCCCAAAACGGGCTCAACTTCGCCAGCTCAGGGGCGGGTGTGCTGGACACCTCGACTCCAGATAAGGTGAGATTTCAATGTTTGGAGGTTTGGAGAGTGGTATTGCTGGGAGAAAGGGATATATGAAGGCGGCTGCGCTTTCTTTTCTGAGTGAAAGAAGTGTTGTGACCCAGAAACTTGGACAGAAAGATGATTCTGACAGGGAAACCCACCCACCCATCCATGGTTGTGCGTGCAGGGCTTCCCACTCTCCGTGCAGCTCTCGAGATTCTCAGAGCTGGGCGGGCTGCAAGCAGCAGACCAAGTGAGTGGCTCGTCTCCCAAGGGGGTGAAGTTCTGGGCTTCAATTCTATCATTGAGTGATTCTACTGTGTGTGTACCCTGCTTTCTGTGATTTTTCTTCTGATTTTTTTTATCTCCCCATCTCCGTTCCTGCTGGAAGCAGTGACCCCTTTCACTTCTTTCTACCCCAACCCCGCCCCACCCCACCTCCTTCCCCCTCATGATACTAGCAGTCCGACTCCCCACCTCTCGCGATCGTGTCCATGGGTACCAATGATTATATCGCGTTTCTTGAAAAGGGGATCAACATGGGCCGTCAGTTGGATCCCTCTGAGCTGCAACGACTTGCTGAGCTACTTCCGCAGTCGCAGAGCCTGATTACCGCTGTGGTTAGGGGGATCACTGACGCTGTGCGAGTAAGCAATGGATTGGGAGGGTTTCCATGGGTTGAAGTGTGGTTGTTTAGAAACATTCCTTCCTCAACACGTCATTCCGCTGTATACTGCTCATTGCCACCCCTGCTACCCAGTACCGTACAACCTTCTCCTTACTCACCTATCCACACCACCCACACTCAACTCAACTTGCTTTAACTCTTTCTCCTCTCTCCCCGCATCGCCTCCACTTTTCACTCCCACCAATCAGACTCTGTACGCCTCTGGCTTCCGCCACTTCCTTCTCTTCGACACGCTACCAATCGGCTGCACCCCCATCGGCCTAGCAACCATTGCCGAAGCCCGCGGCCAGCTCTTAAATGAGCCAGCTCCCTTATACTGCACCCCTGCAGTGAACTTGATCACAGGGGAGCACAGTTCAGTGCTGGCACTGGCATTAGATGGTCTACGAGATCAGTTAAATGATGCTACAGTAGTGTATGCGCGGATGCATGGGCTTATGCAGGCAATGACAGAGAGACCTCGGGATTATGGGTTGAATGTTGGGACGTCTGCGTGTTGTGGTGCACCTCGCCCTATCAACGGCCTCGTGCAATGTGGGACGTCGATTTTCATATCCAACGGCACACAATCCTCCACGCCTGCAACGCTGTGCGACGATAGCCAATCACGCACTTTCTGGGATTTGGTGCATCCATCTCAGGCAGCGAATCAAGTGGTGGCTCGAGCTCTGGTCCGTGCACTGCAGGCAGGGATTTGTGATGTTGATATGTTTAGGTTTGCCAGCAATGATAACTGTGGCAATTGAAATGTATTATATGTTGGGAACAAACAATCTTAAGCGCCTCTGTCGTGTCGAAACACCAAGACACAAGCGAAGCAGCGCATATGGAGGCACCAGCAAGTCAACCCTCGGAGGTTGATGTAACCGCTGGAGGTTACGTGAAAGTCAAAGGTCAGCGACCTTTGACCTGACAAATGCAGCGCGACAGCAAGGACACACAACTGACTCGACATTGAGCAGTTGCCCGAGTCGCACTGTATCGAACCGCAACAGTAAAGTAGTTATAATGTCCCTTCATATTCTCTGTATTCATATATATATATTCTTGTATCTCTTTGCTTTAATCAACTTACTTTGCCCTCACATACTAGCGCAAGGTGGTTCAAATGCCTTACTTAAAACGCTTCCGCTACTACATCACTTTACTCAGACTTTAACTCTACCAAAGATCCTTAAGGGCACTCAGCCCAACATGGTATGAGAGCAGGTTAGAGTTAAATCATTTCTCCTCAATACTTAATACACCAAGAGATATGTCTACTAGAAAGGAGAGGAGCTCCTCCAACGGCTCTCCTGGTACTACTCCTACTCCACCTCCTGCCTCTGGCCTACAGACAGAGGAAGGGACAACAACGAGGCCGGCAGCTGGGTCTACTGAAACACCCGCAAACCAAGGCGTGGGCTTCGATCCAAGCATGATGGAGAAATTCTTCTCCTTCATGTCCTTCTACGAGCAGCATCAGCAAGGAGGACCTGTGCAATCAAACAACAGCAACAACAACAACAACAACAACAACTTGACGCCCATGAGTCTCGATGGCTCATCCTACGCACGCGGGAATCGACAACAGCAACCTACCTTCGCTCCGTACGAGCCTCAGCGCGGCTCCGTCAGCTTCATGCCACAACCACAACCTGCACCGGGACAAAAGAGAACGTTGGACGCACTACAAGTTCAGTCGCAGTTCGCGCACGTTCTAAAACTGCAAACGACAAAACCCTTCGACGGGAAGGACTTCTTCACCTGGTCATTCGAGTTTGAACTGATGATGGAAGGAGCGCAAATCCTCGGCTTCTTCGACGGGTCCCTGCCATACCCAACAAACGGCACACAGTATGAGAAGCAGCAGTACACCTATCAATCAATGATGGCGTACACGATACTGCTGAGGAACATCACTCCATCTCAACAACAAAACATTCGGTCTTACCGAGGCTACGGCAACTCCGCGGAGCTCGCATACAATCACTTGAAGACCCTGTATCAAGCAACAGACAGCGTAAACCAAAGTCGGTTAATGGCGCAGCTAACTACCATTGAAATGAAATCGGGCGAGAAGGGAATGGCGTATATTGTCAGAACATTATAGCTTATGCTTTTGTGTAGGCTATAGTGGGGTATCCCATAGGGGGTACAACCCAATTAGGGTTAGTACTTGTACCCACTTCACTCATAGTTCATTCATTTGCGTTCACTCTTTCACATGGAATCAGAGCAGGTCCCCTCCTAGGGACTGTTCCCAGGGCCCACCGAAGCGCGCCCCGAGGCGCGCGTTCCTTTTTTTTAGCGACCCTCCGTGTCGCCCCTAGCGGCCCGTTTCGCCGCCCTTACCTACGCGGCCCCGCCGCCCTTACCTACGCGGCCCCGCCGCCCTTACGTCGCGGTCCCGCCGCCCTCACGTCGCGGCCCCGCCGCCTCACCTACGCGGCCCCGCCGCCCTCACCTGCGCGGCCCCGCCGCTCTTACCTACGCGGCCCCGCCGCCCTTACCTACGCGGCCCCGCCGCCCTTACGTCGCGGCCCCGCCGCCCTCACGTCGCGGCCCCGCCGCCCTCACGTCGCGGCCCCGCCGCCCTCACGTCGCGGCCCCGCCGCCCTCACGTCACGGGCCCGCCGCCCTCACGTCGCGGCCCCGCCGCCCTCACGTCGCGGCCCCGCCGCCCTCACGTTGCGGCCCCGCCGCCCTCACGTCGCGGCCCCGCCGCCCTCACGTCGCGGCCCCGCCGCCTCACCTTCGCGGCCTCGCCACCCTCACCTTCGCGGCCCCGCCGCCCTCACCTTCGCGGCCCCGCCGCCCTTACCTACGCGGCCCCGCCGCCCTTACCTACGTGGCCCCGCCGCCCTTACGTCGCGGCCCCGCCGCCCTCACGTAGCGGCCGCGCCGCTTCTCCTACGCGGCCCCGCCGCCCTCACGTCACAGCCCCGCCGCCCACACCTTCGCGGCCCCGCCGGTCTCCCCTCCTGCCGAGCCGCCCAAGCAGCCGCCCGCCACGCCGCCCGGTACCGGAGCAGTCGAGCCGCCCAGCAGCAGCCGCCGGGCCGCCTGGCCGCCGAGCCGCAGTTCAACCGAGCCGCCCAGCAGCAGCCGCCGAGCCGCCGGGCCGCCGAGCCACATACAGCCGAGCCGCCCAGCAGCCGCCACCGAGCCGCCGGGCCGCCGAGCCGCAGTACCGCCGAGCCGCCCCGCAGCCGAGCCGCACTACTGCCGCGCCGCCCGACCTGCCCTCTCTGGTGAGCACACCCCCACTGCTACTGCGTGCCCTTCCCCCACTGCTTGCACTGCTAGTCTGTCGTCATGGCTACCCTTAGTGTCCTCGCTTTTGACGCTGAGGGTCAAGCCATTGACTTTGAGGTCTAGGTCGACGACCTGCAGCTGTTTTTACAGTGCGATAGGGCGGACGGTCTTTCTCTCTTTGACCTCACCTCTGGCGCCTCCCCTGCTCCTCCTGCTGATGCTGACCCAACTGTTCGCTCTCAGTGGGCCACCCGCGATGCTGCTGCACGTCTTGCTGTGCGTCGCCACCTGCCTACCACTGAGCGCGCGCACTTTAGTCAGTACAAGAGTGCTCAGACCTTGTACGACGCTGTAGTTGCGCGCTACTCTTCCTCTGCCACTGCTGCACTGAGCCGCCTCATGCTACCGTACTTCTTCCCTGACCTTGCTGCCTTTCCTACAGTCGCTAACCTCATCACGCACCTCCGCACTTCTGACACTCGCTACCGCGCCGCACTTCCTGCTGAGTTCTGCGCCAAGAACCCCCCCCCCCCCCATGTACATCGCTCTCTATTACATAGTCACTCGCCTCCCTGACTCCCTTCGCGTAGTCAGGGACCACTTCCTCTCAGTCTGTCCCACCACCCTCACTGTCGACCTCCTCGAGAAGGCCCTCCTAGCGGCGGAGAAGAGCATAGTCGCTGTAGGAGCCTCTCGTGGTGACCCGCGCACCCCCATCTTTGAGGGGTGTTCTCCTTCCCCCCTGCTGCCCTCTGTTGCCTCTGCTGCTGCTGCCGACCTGCTTGGTCTTGAGTCGGTCGGCGCGGCATCTGCCCCTAGCGGGAGACGCCGCCCTGGCAAGGGCAAGGGGGGCAAGGGCGCGGGTGGAGCTGGCGGGGCGGTGGAGGTGGCAGTGGCGGTGGCGGAGGGAGTGGGGGTGGCGATGGGAGTGGTGGTGGGGGTGGGGGTGGTGGTGGTGGTGGCGGCAGCGGAGGCGGCGGCGGTGGCGGCGGCGGCGGTGGGAGCGGAGGCGGCGGTGGTGGCGGAGGTGGAGGCGGCGGTGGCGGAGGAGGTGGAGCCGGTCGGGTTAGTGCCCCGCAGCGGAGCGGCTCTGGTGGTGGTCAGCGCCAGCAGCACCAGCAGCAGCAGCAGCGTTCTCGGGACATCCCCCCGCCTCAGCAGCTCCGTGAGTGGTACACGCAGCGTCAGCGTGGTGGGGGTCTTGGCCCGTGCACCTACGTTCTTCGTTCCGGCGACCGCGCGGGTGAGCAGTGTGGGGGTGCCCACTCCACCCAGCGCTGCTTTGGCCGCCTGACGGACGCTTGGCGTCAGCAGTTCCCCGAGGCTAGTGAGATTCCCCGCTGGGGAGAGCTGTCTAGGGCTGGCGTAGCGATCTTTGATCTTGACTTTGATGCTATCCTTGCTGCCATGTATGCTGTGACTATTAGTGATGAGGGTGACTGTTACCAGTGTTTCCCGCCCGACCCGGGCATTGGTACTACTGCGTTAGGTGCTTGTGAGGCTACTGCTCTAGGTGCCAGTGCGTCTGCACTCTCACGTACTGGTGAGGCTGCGCTCTCAGGTACTGCGTCGGCTTCGGCCTCCCTCACCTTCACACTTGACTCAGGGGCTTCTCGCTCCTTCTTTCGAGACCGCACCACACTCACGCCGCTTGGTCGGCCGGTTGCAGTCTCCCTGGCTGACCCCTATGGGGGTCCTGTCCTCGCTCACTTCTCCACTGTCCTCCCGTGTCCGGCTGCCCCCTTGGGCACCCTGTCGGGTCTGTACCTCCCCTCGTTCTCGACGAACTTGGTGAGTGGTGCTGACCTGCAGGATGCGGGGGTTCACCAGTTTACTCCTGCGAGTCAGCGGGGGACCCACTGCTCGGACGCCCGCACAGGCCGACACCTAGCCACGTTTTCGCGTCGGCCCGGGTCGAGTCTCTACACCCTGACCACTGAGTCTCCTCCAGTCCCTGCGTCTGGCCAGGTAGCTGCGTCGGGTCAGGTGTTTGCTGCTGCGTCCAGGTCTGGTCCTGAGTCTCCCCCCTGCTCGTGTCGCCTCCTGTCTCACGAGACTCTCTTGTGGCACCACCGTCTTGGCCATCCCTCCTTGCCTCGTGTTCGGGGCATGGCTTCCCGTGTCCTTGTCTCTGGTCTCCCCCGGTCTCTCCCTCCCCTTCCTTCGGGGCCAGGACCTTCCTGTGTCCCCTGTGTCGAGGGGCGGCTCCGGGCTGCCCCTCACTCCTCCCATTTTCCCCCGACAGAGGCTCCTCTGCAGACGCTTCACATGGACGTGTGGGGCCCGGCCCGCGTCCGTGGACAGGGTCACGAGCGCTACTTCCTGCTGGTGGTTGACGACTACTCGCGTTACACCACGGTCTTCCCCTTGCGCAACAAGGGTGATGTCACTGGGGTGTTGATCGACTGGATCCGCGCAGCTCGTCTCCTGCTCAGGAGGAGCTTCGGCTCGGACTTTCCTGTTCTGCGTCTGCACTCTGACCGAGGCGAAGAGTTCTCCTCTGGCCTTC